AAGAAGTCAAATATGACTGGGATCGGCGGCCTCTATGGAGATGGTTTCCACATCCGTGGCTGGCAAAGCGCATCAAATCCCGGCTCGGGACAATGCGATGAGCTTAACTCTATGGTCTACACCTACAATCAAGGAGTCATTCTCAGCGGGCTGAGAGGACTTTGGCTAGCCACAAACTCGCAAGTTTATCTGCGTGACGGTCACGAGCTTGTTCGCAAAGTACTGCAGGCTACCGGGTGGCCACATACCTCTAGCCAGCAGTGGAAGGGACTTGGTCGCGGAGGTGTGCTCGAGGACGCATGTGATTCTCATGGAACCTGCTCCCAGGATGGACAGACCTTCAAAGGCATATTTTTCCACTACCTTGCAGGATTCTGTCGACCTCTTCAGCCGCAAGAGAAGCAGTTCCTGGCGGACGGGACCCGCAGAAATGCAGCAGATGACGACTGGGCCGAAGTCTATGAGCAGCATATAAAGCAGTGCCGCACCTATGGTTCTTGGATTAAACACAATGCGCAGGCTGCTCTGGTGACTCGTGACAAAGCCGGCAAGTTTGGTACCTGGTGGGGCCGCTCGTATCATCAGCTGGATGCCAACGAGATCGTGGATAGCAGCACTATCCCGAATGGTGCTGTAGATTACCGCAATGCCGATCATGAATCAACTACAGGCTTCACGCCGAAGGACTACAACGATCGTGGCCGAGGCCGCACAGTGGAAACACAGTCCGGCGGCGTCGCTGTGTTGAGAGCCCTGTACCAGTGGCAATCCTATGACGTCCTATGAACAAAACAAATGAAAGGTTTGGGTTTGGGGTTGGTGTTTTGGCGGTAAATAGGCACCATTCATTGCATCCAGGGCTTTGAAGCTCTTTTTTTGTACATCCTATACAGCTACAGTTACTGGGAATCATTATCATATCGTTCAGGTTCGACATTGGCTTCTCAGTAGTTACGATTATTTCAAACTGGAACTGCTTTCGCATCTTGACAACTTCCCCTGACCCTTGGACCTGCCGATCAAAGCAGTAGTACTACAACGCTAGTCTTTTAATCCGATCCTCTATGGATCTCGCATCGTGCACCTATCAAATTAGCAACACAACGATTGGTAGCAATGGATCCCCAGCTTCCCCATTCCGGTGATCCTCTCTGCAGAGCACGGCACATAAAACAGGAATTCAAAAACCAAAACCGGATTACATAGTTGATCGTCGGATCTGCAACAAGTGGACACTGGTGTGAGGGATTACCTATGTTGGGTTTTGCGAGAGACATAGGACATTTTGCGGCCGACTTACAATATAAGACATGTTTCTGGCGATAGCTACACAACGTTGAGGACTCCAGTTTGGGTCTGCTTATGCGATACATGTTGAGCAACTAACAATAATATCTCTGTGTTCCCGGAGTGAAACCTATGCAATGAATGAGAGACCTTTCATGTTGTCTTGCCACGGATATGATGTTCGATATTGACCCCCAGAGACGATGTGAGACACAGTTCGACACATTTCTAGGTAAGTTGATTTCCTCGGCTATAATATGGAGATCAAACTCTATTATACTATCTACTTCGGGCCGTTGGAGGAGAACAGGTGGATGACATTGGATGACATTGGATGTTGAATGCATAGAATGACCGGAGGAAGCCTCTACACTGTAGATAAGGTGTATTCCTTCGGATTGTCATCATTCGAAACCAAGCCTTATGAACAGAAGTATGAAAGCGACATACCTTGTCACCGCGTACTAAAATGCCAAAACCTTGAATTCTCGTCACGATGATTGGGCCTTAAATAATACCCAGCATCGAAGAAAGACGGGAAGGTGGCCACTTAGAACACAGAGAGGGGCAAAAAGAAGCAAAAAGAAGGGAAGAAAAACCCAAACATCCACTCTAGCGTGCGGACTAAACATCCTTGACGCCCCCTCCGTAATGAGGGACAAAAAAACGCGTCCGTATAGGTGGGGGGTTTCGGGAGTCCGTAGGGCACGAATCAACGCGACGAAACATACCTGCAGATCGGCGGGTACTTTGTTTGACCATTATTCGGAGTAGCTCTCTTTGGGACGCCAAAAATAAATAAAAAAGCAATTTCAGGGTTCGCATGATATTACGCGGATGTCTCATGAACAACGGGTGGAATGGTAATAGCTGTAGAAATGTGGTCTGATATCGATTTTGTCTCAGTTGCCCCGATGGCCACGTTTTTCTTTCTTGCTTAGCGGGAACCATAGTTCAATTAATCTCTAGTAGAAATGATATACCCTAAATGCTTTATGTTGCAAACCTTGGAATTACCCTAATACCAATCTTAAACATGGTTCTTATCGACTTTTTAGATTACGGCCCAAAGCATGTCACACGCACCCCCCACCTCATGGGGTTCGGTGAAGAGGGTGTACAAGTACGGAGGACGGAGCACTCCGTACACCCTTTGGCAGTTACACCTGTGCTCATGGGGAAGGTACTAGATACGGTAGGTCTGAGCGTATAGTTCAGCGCTGTTCCGCTGAAGTCATCTGACAACGGGACCTAGGAACGCATTTGGTTTGATAGAGGGGGTGAGTTGGCTGTCATAACCGCATAAGCAAGCCAAGCGGGGCAAGAATAGATTAGTTATGTAGGATGTAGGATGTAGAATGTATGATGTACGATGTATACTCGGATATTGATATATTATATTTCTTTGGATCAATCGCATTCTTGAGTTTATAGTCTGACGGCTCTAACTCGGCAGGCACGATGAAACCCGATGTTGACAAAGGCGGAAAGACTAGTACATATCCCCGGACCATGAAGGTGGCACCGGCAATTTGGATGAGGGTCTACCATATCTTGCCGAAACCGGGGAGCATAGCAGAGAGAGTCATTCATTGAAAACGATTTGCTGAGATCGGCATCTATGATGGCACTCGGTTTCACCTCCTTTTTTGGCTCGGCGTCGAATAATAAGGAAGCATGTCAAATCCAGTGTCGAAAGTCATAATGAATGATCGTCTGGATTCCAAGCGTTGGGCGCACATTGGTTGCGATGGAGTGGGTTAAGGACGGGAGGTGGTGACTGGTCGCGGGATATTACGACAGGCCCTGCGGAGCAAGAAAATGCAGTTGTGCCACTGAACTTTCCTGTCAGTTAATCTTCCGCATTATTCTCCAGTGCTGTGGTCAGTTTTCTCTCTCGTTTTTTTTTTTGTGGCGGTGGAGGCGGCTAACGAGGGGCGAACGGGGATTTATCGTCGGATATGTTTTTTGTGCCTTCTATTACAGTGCAACATACGTTCTATATTGGCAGATGGGACAATATGAACCAAAGAAGGACCTTCGGGATCTGTACGGGGGGTTACTGGCACTCCTCCTTTGTCCCTCGGCCGATCTTGGCCAAGGGCGGGTATCTACCCCTTGGAATCTTCGTCCCCGTATGTTGTATGTTGTACGTTGTAGAATAATGACCAGTATACAACATATCCAACATCCAACATCGCCGAGGTAGGTAGTAGAATAGGTGTACTTTGGTATCACCACGATGTATACGGAGTAAGTATCCGCGACCAGAAATACGTTTCTAAGGGGCCAATGATATCCATGGCGTCATTTGGCTCTGAGGCTCGATCGACATTGCATGCCCCCCTCTGAAGGACAGGGGTATGGCCACATGTGCAATACTGCATAATACGTGATTAATACGCGATTCATACCGATATAAGATCGGTTTTCTTTTGTTTTCTTCTTTTTTGCTTTATTATTCCCCATACCCGTAGACGGCATATCCGGGTGAGAATAATGCAGGAAGACCCAAGTTCCCGGAGAGTGACTATAAAGTAAAAAGAATGCAGACTCCGTGGATCGATATACAATACACACACTTAATCTTTTTTTTTCCCACAATACGTGTCAAATCAATGCTACAGTGGAGAGGAAATCGTGTGCCCTATGATGTACCGAGTACCTGATCGGACCATGCCTCGAATAGGGAACGGCGGTGTACCGGGTACTTGTCGGGAAGGTGGTGTGTGGAAAGGGGAATCTGAGGAGCCACCCGTTAGTTCCTGAACGCCTCTCGTTTCTAGAAATCCCCTCTTTTTTTCCTTTTTCTGAATCTTCACCGGTTGATTTTGATTTTATTGGGTTTATTTGATTGATCGAGGGGGGGGCATTTCGATGTCTATGGGCTGGGTTATTTTAATAATGTGCCACGCGATGTCGACGGGAATTGCCCATATAGTATGGGTATTAATTCATCTATAAAAAAAAAAAAGAATAATACCGACATCTAGAAGAAAATAAGAAACCAGAGGGAGCATCCAAGGGACATGGGTTCCCGTTAAGATAGGCAATTATACCGGAAGACTCCATAGGTACCCCTTGGTACCGCACCCGTCGTACCACAACGTAGGTCACTCTGAGGTACCCCTCCGCTGTAACGCCGATACCGAAACTCTCTTCCTTTTCCCCCAAAGCTCTTTTCGGTTCTCTGACTCCTCTCTCTCTTTCTTCGAACTATCTTCTGTCTCTTCTCTTGGAAAGTCCTCCTCTTGCCATATCTATAGCCTCGATCCCTCCCTTGTGGCCAACCTCTCTTCCCGGAACGAGCGTGGAAAAAAAATATTCCCTAGACCTTCCCTTTGAAAGTTACACCACTCCGGTTTACCTTTCTCTCCCCTCTTTCCCAATCTCGAATTGGATTCAGCACACACGCATTTCGGAATTACTCGTCTAGTCAGAGTCGGCCACGGTCGTCTTGCGAATTGCACACTCCTCCATCTCCTTTCGACTTTCCACCGACCCGGTAGCTACCTCAAGCGTAACACAGATTTCTTGTCTGGGGTACATCGCTAGGGGTAGACCGTGGTCGTTCATCAGCCGTTACTTTCCCTCCGGCCTTTTTTTTTCAGTGTGCATCCCCAATCGTGGGAGCCTGATCAGACCGCCATCCTGGACCTCATTTCGATATTGTGTGTCGCGAAGCAGTAACCTTTATGGCATCAGATACCGAAATGACAGAAGCCTTTCCCGTTGATACTTTGCCGCACCCCAACGACGGTGGCCACATGCATATGTCGTCAATGTCATCATCGTCTTCGATATCCGACGCAGAACACGAGCGCCGAGGCCGATCAGAACGTCCGCGAATGGCGAGCCGCAAACCCAGTGCTTCAATCCTTGTCCCGAGGGACCACCCTGAAATTGAAATTGAGGAGGAAGAGTTCCCCCCCGACGATGCCCGCGCAATGAGTCCACGACGCAATTCTGCCGACCTAGAGCGTTTAGGCAAGGAGGCCCGACAGACCCTACAAGAGTGAGTTGAAAAAAAGACATCCAAGGCGTTTTTGCTACTGAATTACATCAGATCCAAGATTCCGGCAGCTAACCAGATGAACTCGGAAAAATACAGACAGGCCAAGGCTCTCCAATCGTCCCTTCAAGCTCTCGCCGAACGCATCGACGCGGTCAAATCGGACCATGACAAGTTGGAAAACGAGAACAAAATCTTACAAGACTACATTGGGGGTCTCACTCGCAACATGACCAAGAGCGAAATGACCCGCAGTACGAAAGCACGCAAAGCACAAAAATAAACCGCCTTTCCGAGATGGCGCAAGGTAGCCCGGGTACAACATCCCGTGGACGTCAATCGGGAGGGATCGCCTGTGACTCTGCAGCAGGGGGTTCCATGCATTACAAACGGTCGCGGGTTTTACCGGGATTCGAATTATTTTCACTTCATTACGACGAAATCCATGGTCAACGGATTTCTCTTCTCACCGCACATCCAACTGGTCGCTCAATGAGCTACATGCCTAATATCCGCATGTCAGGTCTCATAAAACAGCAGGGTTAGGGAATGTCTGTTTACAACCGTTTCTCTTTCCGCAATGGGGTGCGTTTACCCGGGGGGAATATCTCGGTTACCATTTTCTCACACATCATATCTGCCACCCGACTGGTTCGAGTGGCCACCCTGAAAACTCACCACCTTTCAGTTTAAACGCCACCAAGTCACCATCTCCACAGTTTCCCTGTCCAACCGGGATCAGCTGCTAAACCGGGGGTGAGGCTGAATCCAAATTCTTTTACTCAAGGGACTTCAAGGGATTGCTTGTGACATCATTGCATGCTCACCTGACGTCTTGGCACTTGCTTTTCCGAGTTCTTCATTACATCATCCTCAAAGTCGGTGTGCGACCTTTTATCCTATCATCTTCACGCAGTGTTCCACCCTGCCTCTATTCAACCCTGTCGATATTATTGGCCCTTTTTATTTCCTATTCCGCACTCTTCATTCGGCGTTTTCTTCTTATCTTTATGGCGGCTCAGTGAACACGTTTCACTTGTACTTTTTCTTCCTTTTTGTTGTCTATGCATAGCACCTTGGGCGTTTCGGAGACTGGGACTAGACTCGATTTGATTGAATGGCTCCTGCTGGAGCATTGAACTGTTTCTTCGTCATGGGCATTGCATGGTGACGGTCATCGCCACAACAGAACGGCGTGGGAAGTGGAAAGCATCTTTAGGGGTCTTTGGGGCAGTCCATTTATCTTCTCGCATGCCTTCTTGATATTCGAGGGGCTCTCTGTACATCTGCATTTCAACCTGTTTTTCTTTTTTTTTCTTTACTGTCTCTGCTGGACTGACTCGTGTCTCTGCATGCGGAGACAAAGATGCCGCTGTTTCTCATTGTTATCATTGTGGCTCTATTTCTACTTCTTTGCACTTGACATACCCAGGAGCGTGCATGTCTCAAGTCCTCTATTTCCCTTTATTGCCCTCATACCCCTTTTTATCGAGCCCACAGGGCTGGTAGCATTGTGGTTTCGACCATACTAATTGAAAACATCTCAATTAAGACTGTCTTTCGTAGATCTCTATATAAAATCAACAAAACCCCAAATGTGGCTTGCTAAACTATGAGACAGGTAACCCGATGCGGCCAAGAGCGACACTCGGCGAAACGCCATCCAATCGACTAACGGGTCATTACGAACGGACAAATGAACGGACCGTACGGAGTATGGCCTGCATACCCCGTGAAGAAATTGCGCCGATCAATCCGCGATGTGACACCGGCAGGCGCACATAAGCTCGGTAGTGTCCAATTAATACAGCCACTGATATCATTGCCGCCTCGTCTGCAGTACACGGGCATATATGCACATACATATCCGCATATCCTAGTCGGATATACAGTACGGAGTACGGTGTACCGATTCATTATTTGAAACAATGCTTTGTATTAGTTAAGGGTCTGGTACGTAACTAACTATGTATTTTAGATGACCTATCCGACTGGTTCTATAGGGTCAGAGGCCGTGCTGCCTATGGGTAGTAATGAAGATACTGTGGATAATGGAGGGTGTTAATTTAGAGGCAGGATGAGGCTGTTGTGATAAATTCTTCCATCCGCACCGCCTAGTTTACTCGGACAAGACAGCTTGTTGGCTACTTTGCGACATCCGGGGCAATGGACATAGACTCATACACATACAGTCATCCATGCTACAGCTACAATGATTCGCAAGGTAATTACTGGAACAGTGTACGGAGATTATCTTCGAAACCACATCTAGTGAGAATCAAACCGCCAAAATGGCACATATACGGGGAGTGATCAATAGGAAAGGTGAAAAGCCAGGTTAGGGATCAGCAGGGATACCCTTGTTGAAGTCCTGATAAGGAACTGATTTGAAAAACTTCTGTGTGTATGTGTGTTGGGCTGGGGGAGTGCGCGCAAGGGGACTCTTTGGGTAGTTAAGAGGCAAAGTAGGCAAAATAACAAGGAGAATGAAAAAAACGAAAAGAGGAGACAGGATGGATATCCCCCAGGGCAGAGAACAAGCGCCGGGCCAAAGCAAAGGCAAGTAGGCAAGCAGACAAGCAGAGAAGCTTCAAGGAAAAAATGACCCAGAGAGCAGGGTCACCCGAAGATCGCAATATTCTCACACCAACCCTTGCGAGTCCCTGCGATAATAAATCGACAATCGGGGCAACACATCTCATCATCCTTCCTCCTTCATCTCGAATCTATCTCCTTGCACTAGAAGACCCGTCGCGCGCTCTCTTTCTCTCGGTTGTTCCATCCGTCCTGAGGACGCGTGCCCATCAACAAGGTCTTTTTAGGTGTTAATCATTTACTCGGCGGCGGGCTTCTCGGCCTCAGCGGCCGGGGCCTCCTCCTTCTTCTCAGCAGGGGCAGCGCTCTCGGAAACGGGCTCAGCCTCGGACGAGGTCCAGAGAGTCTGGTGAGAAACGTGGGTCAGTGTATGAACAAATTGAATCAGTGTGTGATTTGAACACTTACGAGGTTGTCACGGAGAAGCTGCATGATGAGAGTAGAGTCCTTGTAGCTCTCCTCGCTCAGGGTGTCGAGCTCTGCAGACAAACATTAGCTTTGGTCAATGCACGTGACGGAATTTGAACATACCAGCAATGGCATCATCAAAGGCAAGCTTGGCGAGGTGGCATGCCTGGTCGGGGGAGTTCAGGATTTCGTAGTAGAAGACAGAGAAGTTGAGAGCAAGTCCGAGACGGATGGGGTGGGTAGGAGCAAGGTCAGTCGAGGCGATTTCGGTGGCAGCCTTGTAGGCCTCCAGAGAGTGATCAGCAGCACCCTTGCGGCGGTCGCCAATGGCGAACTCGGCAAGGTAGCGGTGGTAGTCACCCTTCATCTTGTGGTAGAAGACCTTGGACTCGCCGCTCTGAGCGGACTTGATGAGGTGGTCGTCCAGAACCTCGAGGATATCGTCGCAGATCTTGGCAAGCTCGGCCTCGATCTTTTGACGGTACTCCTTGATGAGAGTGACCTGGGACTCGTTGCCCTTAGACTCCTCCTTCTGCTCAATAGAGGTGACGATTCTCCACGAGGCACGGCGGGCACCAATGACGTTCTTATAGGCAACAGACAGGAGATTGCGCTCCTCAACGGTGAGCTCAACGTCGGCCGAGGCGACGACCTTCATGTTCTCGACCATCTCTGCGTCGCATTGTCAGGAGTCTGTGCAACTGAACGATCTAGATTTAAGAGAAACCAACCTTCATAGCGCTCGGCCTGCTCAGCGAGCTTGGCGAGGTAAACAGCGTCTTCGTGACCCATGGTGAATGTGTGTTTTCTACAGTCCGAACTATGTTAGCCAATCTTTTTCTTCTCACATGAGTCTTTATTCTTGGATTGATGATGTTCGATGCGAGGGCTGAAAATCACGCCATGGGACAGTGCAAGTGGCGATGGCGAGGGGTAGAAATCGACCCTCGACCCCCCTTCGAATATACGGGGAAGGGCCCAGTTGAATTTCGATGAGTATCACATAGAACGTCTCTGAATCAAGATATTGGAACGAAAAACTAAAAGACCCCAGAGATTTGGCCGATCATGACGATCGTGGCGGTTACAGGGCCCTTCTTCCCGTGTGTCGTTGGGGAGTATCGCAGGAAAGCGGTCGCGGCAACGGGTCAACTCGTGAACAGGGAGACGAGAGCATGTGGTTTCCACCGTAGATTGTAGCGCGATTCCATGATTTGAATTTGGGCAGAATCGTAGTTTTCAGATTGGTCTCTTCCCATCATGGATTGTTGATGTGTGGGTTTTGCGGTGATGACGGGGGGTGGGCATAGAAATAGGGCGAGAAAAGGACAGATTCAACTGGGGGAACGACAGGAAGACACTGACCTGGTTTGTGAAAGAGGAAATGAAGGTGATTAAGGGATAGCAAGATGGAAGATGGAAGAGAGTAGGGAGTTGAAAGAGAGGAGGTAGGAGGAAAGGAGGGGGGCAGAAGGCGGTGTTGTTGGGATTTACCTGAACAACCCACTTCTGTTCGGGCTTCGTGGTTTTTTTTCTTAGGAAATATCAAAAATGACAAGTCGAGGTCACTTGGACCTGTTCTTTTTCTTCTAATTATTTTATTTTCTATATATATACAAAGAAATCCAGGAAGATATGGCTTTTTTGCCAATCTATACACAGCACACCTTCTCTCATCGCTTCTGTGTGGTTCGGTGGGCCGCCTACAGCGTCATCCCTCATTCGGCATCCGCCAATCGCCCGGTTCCTTACTTGCGCCTCATTCGAGATCATAAACCAAGGCAGACAGCATGTGTCGGAAGCAGTCTAGAACGAATGGATATACAGCATAGAGGCTTGGCTATTGGCCTACCCGGATCGCAAAAGAACGGAAAAGAAGGGGGGAAAAGAGTCAGCTGCGGTAGATTAATGATGTGATCATCCCTGCAGCCCCTGTGATCCAAAGTAGTTGAAGTACAATCGTATACAACTCACAAGGGCCTAAGTGGAAAATCGAATGAGAAGGCCGCGACTTATCAGAAATTTTTGTTCACATGACCTTCACCTGACATAAGCTTGTTTCTCCCGAATCCCCATCACATGATTTGGCTTGGCACGGAACGTTACCTTCCTCGTACCCGAGCTCACCTCGTAAATCCCACCTGAACCACTTCTACCATCCAAATCATCAACATGCTTCGTCAATTTGTTCGTCCCGCTGCTACTGCCAACCGGGCAGTTTTCGCCCGCTCCTTCTCGGTAGCCGTCCCTCGCATGGGCGAAGGTGACACCGGTGCTCCCCGCACTAGCGGTGGTACCTCCTCCGGGTAAGTGCGATGCACGTTGACTGCGAATTTTACACTCGAAGTACAATTGTACCGAGTAGACAGCCCATGCCTGCCTTGCCGCAGCTGGGTGACATATATCTGTATGATCGCTAACGTTGGTTCCTCTACTAGCGACTCGTTCACCAAGCGCGAGGCTGCGCAGGAGAGCCTTTACATCCGTGAGAAGGAGCTTGAGAAGTAAGTTCCGCGCAAAGCCGAGAACAATCAGACAATCAGACTCGAGCGGGGAGCTAATCTATTTTGACAGGCTTGCTCAGCTCAAGAAGAAGATCGGCGAGCAGCGCAAGCACTTGGATGAGCTCGAGAGCCACATGTAAGTCCAAGTCTGGAAATACTCTCCTGTCTATTTCCTTTTCAGTTGAAAGTAAACGGCAAGGCTAACTAGTTTCTCTTTAGCGATGGCTTGAGCCGCTAGATCCATACACCCATTCATCTCATGTTTAATATGAAGGGCCCTTCCATTGCTGTGTATAATACCATCTTCGCTCCAACGAGCTATCGTGCTTGCCTGCTGCATTGAGGTCGTATCGTTTTCAGCGCCTGTTCCTAAACAGGACATCTCTCTACCATAGCATGTGGAATTTCTGCGCTCTGGTGTATAGCTCAGTAGCTCACTCGGAAATATTATTGAGAAACCTCGGTAAAATAAACCATGATTAAATCTGTACGGAGAGTAGTCTTAATAAACTACCTATGTACTCCGTATGTTCTTGATCTTTGTACAAGTACACGAGATTCCTCATCTTTTTGCAATGTTTATGCTTTCTTTTGGCCGCAACTAACCCGAGAACATTGTCTTGCAGCAAATGTTTACCCAACCAGGTTTACCAGCATTGTGCAAGGATTATACGAGTTATATGACTAAGTTGTATGTTGTCAGCCGTCTCCACAAAACAAAACATGATCACCCAGCTTAGGCTGAGGCTCCTTTCATCTTACCTCGACCCAACGCCCAACCCCCAAGAAATACCCCGCCATGTCTCTCCTCAGTTTGCCAAACGAAATTTTGCTAGCCATAGCAGAGAACCAAGACTGCGAAAAAGACATAAATGCGTTTGCAAGAACCAGTCGCCGCTGCTATATCCTCCTGAACCCCTTCCTCTATGCCTACAACGTCCGAGAGCACCAGGGAAGCGCCCTCCATTGGGCAGCAAACCAAGGAATTGTGAGGGCAGCCCAAGAATCACTCCAACAAGGAGCAGAAATCGAATCGAGGGACTGGGAAGGACAAAACCCGCCGTTGATACTGGCCGCTTACTACGGCCATGCTGATATGGTTGCCTTCCTGTTGGCACAGGGAGCCGACCCGTACGCTGAAAGCGGCGGGAGGACCCAAGACGCGATCACATCAGCTGTGCTCCGCAATAAAACAGCCGTCGCTGAAATCTTGCTTGATAGCGGGATTGATGCAAATAGGACGGACTACAGGGGCAGCAGCCTATTGCATCTTGCGGCTGAATCATCTCCCATCAGCCTCGAGGTAGTGGTGAGAATTCTTATTGAGAGAGGTGCCAATCTGGAATCTAGGAATGAACTGAGTCAGACTCCGTTACAGGTAGCGTGTAAGTCTGGTTCTGTGGAAGTGGCCCGATGTCTCATAGAGAGCGGTGCCAATTTGAATGTGCGGAGTGAAAGTGGAAGTTCGCTCCTGCACCTGGCGTTCAGTGAAGTCAAGACCGTTGAGTTGTTGGTGCAGAAAGGAGCTGATATTGAGGCGAAAGATGAGCAAGGTGAGACACCACTGCATCTGGCATGTCGGGATGGCTGGGTCGAAACAGCATCGTTCTTGCTGGATCATGGTGCAGATATAGAGTCAAGATCGCTAGATGGGAGCACACCATTGATGCGGGGAGTACTCTGGGAGAGTATTATATGCAGGGAGCTGGGCCCAACCTCAGTGACCACCCTCTTGCTGTCACGAGGTGCCAATCCAAGGCAGGGAAATGATTTCGATATCACACCATTGCATTGTGCGACGGCCAAAGCAAATTCTGCGCTTTTCAGGCTATTGCTACGATATGGTGCCGATGTAGAGCCAAAAACTAGGGCTGGCGTGACGCCGCTGCACAAATTAGCGTCCACTGGCTCACTGGACTCCGCAAGGCAATTGTTGCAGAGAGGCGCTGATGCACAACCGAGGGACGAAGAAGGCAATACACCATTGCATATGGCAGCGGAGAGAAATGATGTGGAATTCATCAGTTTGCTGCTAGCGGCAGGCGCTGACCGGCTGGTCAGAAACAACAAGGGTCAATTTCCTATACATGTAGTATCAAAAGCAGCACACAAATCAGAAGAAAGACAGAGAGAAGTGATGGCTCTCCTCGAGGTTTGGTCTGATAATTAGCATTAGCCATAGTGACCAGAGACATAATATACAACAAGTATCTGAGAAGAGTTTGTCAATCCTATTGCATTAGATTCTACAAAGGTTCGAAATTTGTTAATCACAAAGCGCATGCAAGCATTTTATTGTGACGGACTATTAGCATTCCCAGACTACAACAGAAAGCACATCGAGGTGCCACGTAGCCAATAACTCCGAGTTCAAATCATTAAAAAAAGCCATCCAGCCCTTTACCGTCCTTGCATGAACGAGCGGTAGAAATCATCAGCAGTGTTGTTGTTGCCCATGCCATTGTTGGGATAGCCATATCCGAGACGGGCAGAGATTGATTGGCCTGCCTTTTGGGCGGCGGTGACCTTGGACTGCAGGTCCGAGGTGCCTTGGTCGATGAGCTGCAGCTGGGACAGGTGCGCGTTGAGAATACGGACAATCTGCGAAATCTATAGAGATGCGTAAGCAAAAGAATAACCATAAAGAAGGGATCAATACTGGTTTGTGACTTACCGGCTCATCTGCGTTGTTGGTCTTGGTCAATGTGGATGAAGCACCATTGACCTCTTCAATCATGCTGGTAAGATCCTTGCCCATTTCGTCCAAGCGTTCCGAGAGCTTTTCGGCCAGTTTGTAGCTAATGGCTATATTAGCAAACCATATCAAATGTTGCGTTGTGTGTTGTACTTACGTTGTCTCACGCTCCTGGTCAGGTCCTTGAAGGGACTCTCCAGGGCCCACCTGCTTGGTAACCATCTCGTCGACTTCACGCTCATATCGATCCAGCCATGAGCTGAGCTCATCCTGTTGACCTTCAACCGCTGACAATTGGCGCTCAACCTCCTGGGTAGCTCGATCCGCATCAACAGTGCTGCCGTACAGCTTCTGAACCTTGGTACCATTGTCCACCAGCAGACGGTCCCACTCGGAAACCTTCTCCGCCTGTTCGCGGAAGTCCTTTTGATATTTGCCGAGATCCGTGGCCCATCGGGTGATGATCTCATCCATGGTTTTGTTCTTCAGACGTGACTGAGCTGGAGGAGCGGGGCCCGCAGTAGACTGGCCAAGGGCGGCGGGCCCAGCTGGAGCAGCGGATGTAGTCGAAGCAGCCGTCGTTTGGGGTGCTGAACTGGCGGAGGTCGCTGGTTGCGCCGAAGTGGTAGTAGCAGCTTGGCTGAACAAGCCGCCCGTAGGTGCAGCGAGTGTAGTAGTGGCAGGCGCGGTAGTGGCCGCAGTACCTGAAGTAGTTGTGGGAGCTGAGGTGTTAAACAGGCCTCCAAGAGGAGCTGTTGCTGGAGTAGTCGACGGAGCAGCCGTGGATGTAGCACTTCCGGCGGAAGGGAAAAAAGGCTTTTGAGGGGTAGCACTCGAGGTAGTGGGGGCTCCTAGGGAGAGAGTTGTGTTTGCGGTGGAGGAAGGAGGAGTGCCGGGAGCAGCCAGGTTCTTGAACATAGACGGTGTCTGTGAGCTTTGCGCACCACCCGCGGGTGCAGCTGCGCCGAAGAGCTTAGGAGTGCTATCTGCAGCACTCGTGGGAGTGGCTGAATCGGCCGGCTTGTTTCCACTGAACGGACCACTGCTGGGCGCAGTAGCGGTTGCGCCACCAAAAATCGGCTTGGTTGCTCCCCCTCCAAACATATTGTTAGATGCCTGTGAAGTAGCAGGTGTGGTAGATGACGGCGCTAGGGTGGGGGTAGTCGAGACTCCGAATAAGCTACTGGGTGGGTTAGATGCCGGCGGAGGACCAGCAGGGGTGGTGGAGTTGATGCCAAACAAATTGCCTCCCGCGGGAGCGGGGGTAGCTGTTGTAGCGGCGTTGCCAAACATATTCTTTGCACCTGCTCCACCGAACATCGTACTACCGGCAGGTGCGGCCGATTCTGTAGACTTGTTGGGAGTCTGGTTGCCAGCAGTGGCGCCAAAGAGGTTAGGCTGCGTGCCAGTTCCCGATGGAGCCTTGCTGCCGAAGTTGAAGGCCGAGGTACCGCCCTTGGTCGCATTGGCAGCGCCTGCATTTCCGAAGGTTGGTGTGCTTTGGCCACTTGCGGAATTTCCTCCAAACATCGATGTGCTGTTGCCGGTGGACGAAGCTCCAACATTACCGAAGAGCCCACCACTAGACGCATTGTTATCCTTGTTGGCACCGAAGGCATTGCCTGCTGTGCCGAAAAGAGATCCACTAGAGGCGCCAGTAGAGGCCGGGGAGTCGAAAGAGAACACCATGGTGTTGGTGACCGAGCTTCAGGATTGGGAGGGAAAAAGCTGGATGGAGAGAAAGCACCAGCGACACGGAGCAGGAAAGGTGGGCCTGCAGAATGGATCAAAAGACCCAACAGTAGGAGAATGGAGCTCTTGATCGAATGAAGTGAGACAAAGAGCCCAAGGGTGGAATGAGAAAAGAAAGTCGAAGACAATAGACAAAAGACAATAGACAATAATAATTGGAAGGAGTTTGGCAAGCACGCGCTGAAAACTTGGCGCCTTGAATACAAGGCAGTAGTTATGCCTGAATAAAGTGGCTAACATATTGATAATTAGTGCCTAAGGCAGACATGTTCTGGACTCACATCGATCGCAGGGAAACAAGTCCTCACTGCGCACTACACACGACCCCATTCCATTTTGAATTATTCATTTATACGTGCCCCTTCTTTCATGTTAACACCCTGAATTCAAGCTGCAATCATGTCGGAGGGGCCGTCCGATTTGTCTAGTTCGCATCTAGAGCCACCCAGCAGAACTACGGAAATGCAAGATCCAGGAGCTGGCGACCACAGTACATAACCCTTCGATATACTTGAATATTTGTTTGAAACTGACATTTGTTCTAGTAGCTTCTGAAAGTGAAGATGAACACTTCTCAGATGCCAGCGAAGGCAATCCCGAACTCCAGTCACTCCCACAATCTGGTCGCAATTCCCCTATCCCACGAACGCGAGTCGAGAGGGTTGACAGCAGCACCCAACACGGAGAGATTCCTGGTACAGCAGCATTCGAAAAGAGAGAGCAGGATGCAGTTCCTGATGAGGTTGCGGTTATCCCAGAAGGCTCGGACAGCCAGACGCCTTCGCCTGGAGAGGACCAAAGCTTGAGTCCAGAAGGCTTACCGTTTCCACGCACAGTGGTTGAGAAGGTGGACCCAGATGAACCTAGCCATGGCGAAGTCCCCGGCACATTGGCCCATGAACAACGTCTTGCCGATGCTGTGCCCGATGTGGTGACCAAGGCTTCAGATTCCGAGAGCAGCCCAACGCCACCAGCATTCGACCCTACACTTCCTGAGACCGATGCATCTTCAATAGAAATTCCCGAGACACGGCTCGAGCGGGTGGACACAGCTCCCGCTGAGGAAGACCTGCCGCCACACCCACAAGCTCATAAAAGCTCAGCAAGTGACGCATTACCCGATACGGTAGAAACCGTCCCGGATGTCTCAATACATGATACAGACCTGGAAACCAAAGACCTCTCATTAGAGGATGACATGAACGACGACCACGGATATGAAAAGCAAGAAGCGGGTGATGATTTTGATGAATTTGTAGAAGAGCAGGAAGACATGGGAGATGATGATTTTGGGGATTTTGACGACGGCTTCCAGGAGCCCAGTGCAGAGGAAGCCCCCATAGACGATACCGCGGCATCTCAGCAATCTCGCGCACCCCCACCTCTTATCGACTTCGACACATACACATCCACCTCCGCACTCCTCGATTCCCTCAAAGACACCCTCGACATTCTCTTCCCCGAAACCGAAGACATAAGCTCTCTCCCCCCTGTCGAGCCAATCCCCGACTCCGCAGCAATCTTCAGCACCGAGCGATCCCTCTCACTGTGGTCCCAGCTCGTGGCACCACCACCCCTCCAGCCCCAGAACTGGGTAAAATCCCGCATTCGCCGACTATTCCTCGTGTCCTTGGGCGTGCCCGTTGATCTGGATGAGATTCTCCCAGCCTCCAAACAGAAAAAGCTTGTTCTTCCTTCTATTGACCTTGAAGGCACCGGCGCAAAGAGCCCCGGCGCTCGTTCCGCTGGTCAAGTCCGCAAAGAAGAAGGTAACGACAACACCGGCGAAAAGGGGCAAGCCCCCTCCCGCCAGAAGGCTACTTCTCGCCGCGGCGCACCACCGGCGCCGGAGATAGACCTCTCGGCGGTCCGCCGGCTGTGCGCCACTACCGATGCTGCACTGAGTGGTCTCACAGATTCAGAGTTGAGGCTGCATGTCCATGAACTGGAGCATGTTGCTCAGCGCGCTAGTTCGGTATTGGAGTACTGGCTGAAGCGGCGGGATGGCTTGGTCGGCGAAAAAGAGGCTTTCGAAGGAGTCATTGAGAACCTCGTTAGTCATGTTAGGAGGGTCAGAAAGTAGTCTTTCCTTCGGGCACTTGGTGTACTATCTGAATGCCCAATATAATATATTTTATATAATCTAATGTCGATACCAGAGAAAATCAACTTACCTGCGAACTTCCCTGCGTAGACTGCAGCGTACGAGAGGACGTGTCCCAAGGGATTTTACCCCGTAAAAGAGGGGTCCACCCCCATCAAAAGCTCCGACCTGGCTCCACTGTACTGTTCCAAGGTTGATCTTGCGACCTATGTATGTACTTGATGGCTATCATTGTTCACGATGCCCTTGTTCTGCGAGATACTTAATCCCTCCCCCTCTCGTTCCTCTCTCAAAAAGAATGCACTGAAGTACGATGACGCAATAATGGGGGGTTGGTTATGCACCTCTTTCAGTAGTCTTTTTAGCCGTCTTTTGGCGGTTTTTTGTGTATGGATATCTTCTTTCCCCTCCTAACTTACCTTTCTATGTATCTAGGTTTCTGCCTTGTTCGTACACTCTCAAGCCAGCTCACATCCTGCCTTCCTAGCCGAACACAATACAACCCAAAGGCAAGTATCTTTGTACTCATCTCATCAGGATGTCAAACAGTGGTGTTACTGCCGCTCTATCTCTTCCGTCCGCTCTACCTGATAACCACATGGTTCGGGTGTTTACCTCTATGAACCGTCTCCGTGCCGCTGCAAATGAGGTCTTCGCATCTCTTGACAACAAACAAAGCACAAACCAATGGCTTCTTGTTCTTGGCCTCCCCACAACAGTCATCAAGCGCCTCGACGAAGACCGTAATTGCCTAGAGGCGATTAATTACCGATTCCAATGGCAAGGCAGGAGCGGTCTGATAAAAGTCATCCCGACAGCCCAACACGAAATCATCACCACGAGGGTTATGTTCTCTGTGAATGACGCTCTCGCTGCAATGGGTCTGCACTGGAGTGATTCAGAATGGGTCGGCCATACTACCTACAAGCCGAACCTTGCCAAAGGCAAACAGCCCGACAATGCATTTCTCCCGCCCTCCCGCTGCACGATACCACTCAGTTCGACGGGATGGCCAACTCTTGTCATTGAGACCGGAGTGTCTGAAAGCTTGAGCCAGCTCCGCGCAGACGCAGCAAGGTGGTTTGCAGATTCGAACGGCGATGTTAGAATCGCGCTGGTTATCGCCATCAAGGACAGCAGGGTTGACATTGAAAAATGGCAATTGGCTCCAGAAGGTGTGCCCCCGCTGGACCTCCAGGTGCCCGACAGCCAACAGCCATATTGCGCCCAGAAGATAACCATCACACCACAAGGTGTTACTGGGACTCCCCTTGTCTTACCCTTCAATGCTTTGTATGATAGAGTCCCGGGCCCAGGGGAAACCGATGTCCTTATCACGACGGCAGACTGTTTGAAGATTACGACGAGGCTGTGGTGAAGAGCACGAGGACTGTGTGCCTGGATGACGATGTTTTGACTTTGGCTACTTCCCGGTATGGCTTCGAGGGAAACCCTGGACGAGTTGATCCATGATTTATATTTGGTATTTCTCTGTATATGCTAGGAACAACGCAGCATTTATGTAAACTTCTCTCGTCATGGTGTTTCTAAATGTAATACTCCTATCAGTTCAAAAAGCAGCAATGTCTGAGGGAACGGAATGCCGAGAAGTGGCAGAGGAAATCCAATACATAGGTATTTATCTTGATATATGTAAGCAAGTTCTAGTCTAGTTACAACACTAGAGAGCTCAGGTAACCTTGAAAATAAGATGGGAGTTAAAAAATGAGCTAGCCGTTGGAAGCATTGGATAAATAAGAAAAAGGCGGACGCAGCCGTAAAATCAGTCTCCCTAACGCCAGAGATAACAGATCATGAGAGAACATGGAAGAAATGCATTTGAAAAGCACGCAATAAGGGGTATCTTCTTTTCAAATGCATGCAAAGATAAACGAAAGACATTGGAAGGCCAAAGCCGCTAGAAGAAAAGAAGAAGGAAAGAATATTCGTTGAAAACCCGATAAACTCATTAGTCCAAGTCAATGACCGTATGTTCTTGGGTGCGAACAGCCGGGCTGTGACTGCCATGAGATACATTGTTCCTAGGGCGTACGGGAACAGGGCCCAAAGAGCCTTCAGCCTTGCGCTTCGGAGAGAAGGGGTTGTCTGTCACAGGCGAGATCTCATCAGTGTCGTACTTGGGGGTCCAGGTTCCATCGACTTTGATCTGGATTGCTCTAATCCCATCGAGTCCGTTCGTTCGGGCAAGCTCGGCGTGGACATCGACAAGGAACTGATCGACGACCAAGAATTGCGGGCGTGCATCTCCCTTGCAGATCGGGCAGCGCCAGTTATCGACCATCGGTGTCGGGCCGGATACGGAATTTCTGGTTTTTATAAAAGTGTCACGGTCGAAGCATTCATGGTGGCGGCAATAGCGCGAGCGAACGGGGACATCGAAGATGCGTGCCATGAAAGGGTCCACCAGGTCGATCGTGAGGTTGTCGGTGACCACGGCCAAATCATCGTCATCGGTGGTAGGAGCAAGACGCTTTTTGATGGCTGCACGAGATTCGGCAGCTGGGACGGATTGGATCAGGCTGAGTATCTGGTCGAACTCGGCAACCTCCATGACCTCCACCCCGAAGACGAATTTGGAGGTCTTACACTCATCCTGTCCTAAGATCATATCGAGCCGTACGCTGTTTTCGCCTGTTTTGATGTACTCGGTAATGTCCAAAGGCAGATCTTTTCCGTTGTGAACCTTTCGGCGCACATAGAGCTCTTTGTCGTTCACGCTAATATAGAAGACACTGGGCCAGAAAGTGTTCGCAGTACACCAGGTCTTCTCCGTCACAGTGTCCGGATTGCCAGGAAGACGAATGCATCGCAGGCGAATAGTCCGGCAACCGGGCCTAAAGGTCCAAACCGAATGTTGGCTCTGTTTCCCGTGAGCTATGTGTGGGAGCTTTTGGCGCTCATCATGCGTGAAAGAGAAATTCCATGTGTAGATTGGCTGGTCAACGTTGACAATGGTTGGGTGTACAACGAAAGTTTTGAGATAGGTAAACAAATCAGTCTCAATGTCACTACCATCCGAACCCTGTTTTACCAGCCTCTTCATAGGATCGCGAAGATCAACCAGATGTAGACCGAGACGCGTTGGATTTGGATTCACCGTCATAGGTGCCCTGTAGCCAGGTACCGGGAAGAAAGCAGAGTTAAGCGAAGGCTGGTGATGCTGTCCCTGAGGCGCACGTGTGACCGGTGAAGCAGACGACTGCAAAGCCGTCGAATGTTGTCGAGTGTGATGGTTATTAGGCCTTTGTGGTGGCATCGGGTGCTGGGCCATGTGGCTTGTTGTAGTCGGCGTCGTAGATATAGACGATGGAGCATGGAGCGATTGCGCTGACTGTGTAGGGGTGAGAGCACTTGATTGGAGGGAGGGGTTAGCAGGCGATATTGGAGTCATTGTTCGACCGTGTAATTGTTGACTAGGTATTTGTTGACCATGTGAGCCTGGCAGTGATTGGTGCCTCGGAGAAGATGCTACTTGTCCGATCGATGTCTGTATGTGCATTTGCATCTGTGGATTCATATGCGGATTTGTATGCAGATACATATGCTGTTGCTGATTCATATGTAGATTCCCCGGATACCACCATCCGTGTTCCTGTCTCGGCCCTTGCCCCTGTGGTATGGGATTGTAATGAGATTGCGGGGTATTCTGCATTTGTGGGTTTACGCCAAAATGATAGGACCCAGCAGCCGGACCAACAACCTGGCCCCGGGGGGAATTTGAGGGAAACTGCTGCAAAGGTGCACCAATCGGGCTTGGAGCAGGTGGATTTGTGGCAGGTTGACTGACACCAGCAACCGAAGAACTGGGATAGGAAGGTACTCCTGGAGCAGCTTGAGGCATGGCTCGATTCTGAGGTCTAGGAGGTGGTGCAGAGTGAGAAGATGGTGTTTGTGGTGTTTGTGGTAAGTATTTAGGCGGGAAGCTGCGATACTCTTGGACGAATTTCCAGTTGAGAGCCTGCTGAGTGGTCCCGGGAAGTCTAGAGTCCCTACACTTCTCAAAAGCTTCCAAATCTTTCCAAAATAACTTCAGCAGGGCATCCACGTCTTTGTCATGGTGAAGGTGCCGTGCAACACACGTGAACATCACCGACATCAAAATCTGAGATGGACAAGCGAGTGCTTGCCAAAGGTGAGATACCAACGGGGGATGACGAGCCTGGTGCAAGATTCCATGCCATTCATTCGCGAGCCGTGCTAAAAACTCAGGAACACCAGACAGCACCTGAATGTACCAGTTTGTGTGCATCAACTGCTGTGGAGATGCCGGGAAATGGGCAAATCCATTGGTAGCGGCATCATGCATCTTTGCATTGTCATCCAGAATAAGCGTGAGCAATTTCATGCCCGCGTTGGGGACTCTAATTTGACCCAATGTGCTTGCATCCGTGCTATATCGGCAGTACAATTGATGTATCACCAGATAGAAAGCATCCTTACGATTAATGGCCTGCTGCAACAGGTTAATCCGAGGCCGAACAACAGTGGTCTGGCTCAAGTGAGCAGGGGGTAATGCTCCCTTTGCAGACAAATCGTCCACCAAGGCATTCAATTGAGCAGACCATTGTTCCCATGTCTCATTGGGGATAGCCGCAATCCCAGCTCCCACATTCTGCAGCGGACTAGGTCGTGACCCTGACACTGCGTGTTGCTGTGTGCTAGTACCTGTGCGTGTGTCTGTGAGCGAGGGGGAGTCCGGGGACCGATCCGTTCCCATTCGAGAGGACTGGGTCACGCGTTGTGACGCGGTGAGCCCACTAGGAGGAGGTTGGACCGCCATGCGCTCATCATCGCCACGCTGTGCCGTGAGTTGTGTAGAGATTGGCGGCAGCGTGGAAGGTCTATTTGAGATGATCGCATCGGCGTTGACGGGACTTGGGTGAGAATTTGTACTGAGAACCGGTGAGGGAAGAGCCGTCGGTCGCGTGTCGGGCTTTTTTGCCGCATCAACAGGACCACGTGCGGGAGGCTGGGTAAGGGTCTCACCAGGCGTGACGGGGGACATTAAGACAGTCTCGCTGGGAAGGGATTTGGGAGGGACTGGAGGATCAACCTCAACGCGAGGTTTTCGCGCGGCCGAATTCTCTGGGGCGTTAGCCTGCGGGCCCATCCAGTGTCTCCGCACGCCGCCTAAGAACAGACTGGCAGTAGTGTTGGACTCCTCAATATGATCTGCACTAGCGAGCGATCGCGATTTAGGTGATACCATGATGATCGAGTAAGTGTCTGAGGCATCAGGATGATTTGGAGGTTCCTTTCAATAATAAAGGGCGCTTACACCGATGTTTGGTTCAAAGAATCCCAGACACCTAAGCGCCTAGAGACCATAATAGGAATGGATCCATGCAGTTGGGAGTGAAAGCGCAGTAAGCAGGGGGAGATGTTGCTATAGCTATCCTATACTCGATTCCTCTGGATCTGAATCTCAAGTGAATCTAATCCATTCTAATCCTCTAATATAGATCGGGTGGACTTGGGCAAGAATGACCGGGTTCATCTGCATACAAGGCACATGTACTACTGAAGTACTGTACGAAAACGGACCTAATTGCCCAGGTATGTTGCTAATTACTATTCAAGCTAAGCGCTAGGTAGTTGGTACTTATAATGATTGTAATCGCAGTCCCTATATTATATGTAATCGCAGTTGTGCCACCTCTCAGCTCCTCTCCCTCAACCACGGGAAAGTCTCCCAAGTCCAGACTTTCTTACAATCGCACACGTCACTCTCGCCTTTCTCTTCGAATTTGCGTCTTAGGTTTGATATTGATTCAAATCCGAGTTCTATCAATAATTTACCAATATTCTTGGTCGCGTTGAAAAAAAAAAAAGAAATCCAATCTATCTCTACGTCGAGATCCTTCGTTCGTGCTCCCGAGCCCCGCGAGTTGTTTAACCTAATCCTTCTAATCTCCCGAATCTCTAGCCTTTGGACTTCTCACATTCTCTCCCCTTTCTCCTACCCTTTCGCCAAATCACATTACTCCCGAGTCTCCCCCAGTGGGATACGCAATTGCAATCTGCAATTTGCAAATCTATCCCCAAGGGTGCCATGTTTTGTGTTGGCTCTTGACTAGGATACACGGAATATTGAGATGGTTACCATGGGCCCACCGAAGGGTGTTCGTCCAGGCGACATTCTGGAGGTTCTTCGTAAGTGACGTCGTGTGCGACACCTCGATTTCTGTGACTCCGCGTTTCTCAGGATGCGCCCGGCTTCTAACACTCCAAACTAGATGAATTTGGCGGGCGCGGAGAAGACGAACTGGTCATGTTACCCCGCGACAAGATTAAACTGATCGAGTTGGATGAGGAATTTGGAGATGCCTGGTACTACGGACAAAACCTGAGGACGGG